GTTTCAGGCTCTGCACTTTCCCTCCTCACCTCATACCTGAAAGACCGTACCTACAGGGTGACTTGGAGAGGGTCTGAGTCCGACCCTTGTCAATTAACTACGGGGTTCCCTCAGGGCTCTGTTCTTGGTCCCCTCCTCTTCTCCCTGTACACAAACTCGCTCGGATCAGTCATTAGCCCGCATGTTTTTCTTACCACTGCTACGCTGATGACACCCAATTAATTCTGTCCTTTCCCCGCTCAGAGACCCAGGTCGTTGCACACATCTCTGCTTGTCTAGCTGACATCTCTCAGTGGATGTCCTGCTCACCACCTCAAGCTCAACCTTGACAAGACTGAGCTGCTCTTCCTCCCGGGAAAAGATTGTCCCACTCTTGACCTAACAATCAACATCGGCACCTCAGTTGTTTCCCCGACTCAGACTGCAAGGAATCTGGGTGTGACCCTAGATAACAACCTGTCCTTCACTGCAAACATCGCTGCTACAACCCGTTGCTGCAGATACACGCTTTACAACATCAGGAAGATACGTCCCCAGCTGACTCAGAAAGCGACTCAGGTTCTGGTCCAGGCTCTCGTCATCTCACGCCTAGACTACTGCAACTCCCTCCTGGCTGGTCTACCTGCATGTGCCATCCGACCTCTGCAGCTCATCCAGAATGCAGCGGCTCGTCTGGTCTTCAACCTTCCTAAATTCTCCCACACCACTCCGCTCCTCCGCTCCCTTCACTGGCTTCCGGTAACTGCTAGAATCCACTCAAGACACTGGTACTTGCTTACCATGCTGCGAATGGATCTGGCCCTTTCCTACATCCAGGACATGGTTAAACCGTACACCCCAGCGCGTGCACTACGCTCTGCATCAGCCAAACGACTCGTTGTGCCCTCGCTGCGAGGGGGACCCAAGTTCCCATCGGCGAAAACACGTGGGTTTGCTGTCCTGGCTCCAAGATGGTGGAATGAGCTCCCCATTGACATCAGGACGGCAGATAGCTTGCACATCTTCCGGCGCAAACTGAAAACTCATCTCTTTCGACTCCACTTCGAGCGTTTAGAACTATTAACGAAGCACTTTTATACTAATAAAGGACTGGCTTACCTAAAGCCAGTTGAGTAGCACTTGAAATGTTTGGCTCTATGAAACCTGATGTACTTATATGATTCTGTTTTCTTCAAGGTTGTGTCTTCCTGGTCGAATGTACTTATTGTAAGTCGCTTTGGATAAAAGTGTCAGCTAAATGCAATGTAATGTAATGTAATTAAAGACTGTATATTATGGCTATTTTGCACATCCCTTTCAAGATTTTCAAAGGTTTATTGACATATCATATACACAACTACGGTGTAGTTATGCAATGAATGAAACACTTGGGTCACAGGTTCCTCAACAAGACATCTATCAATATGTGTATACCTCCACCATCAAACTGTCATATTCTGCAAATGTATTATTCTATCTACATACATAAGAGAGTATAATTCATATGTATAATATCAGTTAAAAATAAGTGCTTCAACATAGTTAACATTGCAGGAAAGCAATATATTAGACGTTAAGTACTTTGTCAGGCTTAATATTTATCTATAGATACCCCCAAAGTTGTTTTCTTATTTAAAAGAAGACCTTAATCTGTTATTTAATGTTTAAATAAAGGTTAATTCGTTTTTCTGTTTTGCACCTCCTCCTATTAATATCTTTGTACATTCTGCACTAAACTGTTTTATTGTAGAGATCACTTAGAGTATCTTCTTGATTTTTAACATTCTTTATTTATACTTTCCCCCTATGAAAGTATGTACTCTTAATATTTTTTTAATCAAATATAACAATAATTCAATAACGTGCTTTAACCACTAGGAGGTGCACACAAGGTACACACAGCCATAATAACTTTGTATTATAAATGTAGGACACTTGTGTTTTCGTACAACATCTGAAGATGTGTAGTTTTATTCGTGCTTTCACATAATTTTACAGCATATTGCTATACTATTTCAGACTCAGTATTTACTCTTTAACATGTTTTTATTTACCACACAGCTTCCGGTCTCCCACGACCCGACCGGAGAAAAAGACGTGCTGCAGGCAGTAGAAATACATTGCTTTTAAAATCGTGCTGTGCAACACGAAAAAAAGGGGCAAATCGTGTTGGTGAACACGAATCAATAGATTCAAAATCGTGTTGGTGAACACGAAATGCCGTGAGACTGGGTTGGTATGTATGTATGTATGTATGTATGTATGTATGTATGTATGTATGTGTGTGTGTGTGTGTGTGTGTGTGTGTGTGTGTGTGTGTGTGTGTGTGTGTGTGTGTGTGTGTGTGTGTGTGTGCTGTATCTATCCCATTAAGGCCAAATGTGTGCCGAGCAGAGGAGATGAAACTGGCAGGACTCCTAGTCTAACCAATAGCATATCTCTGTTAGACGGGCCACTGGAGGCTACTTAAGCACGGGAAACAAGAAAACCAACATATTGTTATTGTACTGTCCTGATCATTACACATAAAAGACTATCTACAATTTAATAAAGTGCACCAAAGGAATACTTGCACACCTGAGATCTGCCGGCTGAGGCCCATTGATTTAGGTTCCAGATCTAAGAACACAAACTATGTATGATTATTATTTGTGAGGGAAAAACTCAGGGGATGTGTAGATGGCTGTAGTAAGGGATTTGGAGGGTGACCGCAGATTCCAGGGAGGAAGGTGGGGGGGGGAAGTCAGAGATTCCCATTACCTTTGGTCCCATTTATACTGTCTTTGAGCCATACTTTGCAGTTTCCCTTTCCATTGTTGTTCATTTAAACTCACTGTATCTACACAATAATAAAAGGGCCGCAATAGGAGAGAGCACAGCCGTTAGTACATCCGACACACCTATGTCCCAAAGCACACAAAGGCTACTCTTTCAAATCCTCTATATATATTTATCTCAATTTATTAATTATTTAAACTCGGCTGAAATGTCCAACAGTGTTTAAACTTGGAATTAATAAAAAATATCATATTGTTTTGTTTACCTCTTATGCATTGTATCACATTGTTACATCAAGGATGACTTTAACTGCCTGGTGGAAAACTGGTCCGAAGTGGGTGCAATGGTTTTATTTCTCTCTCTCTCCAGTTCCCTGTTCAGTGTCTTGTACCTGAATTAACTTGTCAGAGTTTAGGCAGCATGGCATCCTCTCAGCTGTAACAAACTCCTCTCACAGTGAATAAGGCGTCAGTTTGTCTGCAGTGACCGACATGAGCGCTGTGTGACAGTCAGCTGACGCCAGCAGAAAAGAAAAGAACATACTGCCTAATTTGGAAAGCAAACAAAATAAATAATGTTGTTATCATTTTTGACGTCGGAAGAAAAGTGCTGTAGCACATACAGTACAGCTGACTGGCTGCAAACACCTGCCACTGTTAAATAATGATTTGGTTAATGATTGATTGCAGGGTCACAGTAGGATGGAATGGCTCCCTCTTTCATAGCAACAAACAAAGAATTTTTACAAATTATTTCCTCCTATTTTCTAACTACAGCTGTGCTCTTCTAACTTCACATCAATGTACTTTCAAGATAGACAATAATCACTTAAGAATGTCTAAGCAGTATATATTTGTGTAGAAAAATACAAAATGAGTGGTGAATATGCTTAAATGATTACAAATGTTTACACTTTTGTGACTGGCATAACTATCAGGAACAACTCGTTAGGTTACTGCATTCCAGGAAGGAAGAAGCAGCGGTTAATCACTAATACCTCTGCACCAGTCATAAAGCAACCAAACCCCAGCATGAAGCCTTGAATAACATCCAGGATGAACATCTATTCAATTGTTCTGGGTCATTCTGGGTCATTTTCTAGCCTGGGTCTGAAACATGATACACGCGTAAACATAAGAATGACCTGTAACCAAATAAAAAGGAAAATAATGATGATTAATTGGCTCTCGTTTTGGTCAAAGTAATGTTCCATGATGATCACTAAATAGTTGATGTAATTTGCTTCTTGGCTTCTCTAATTGAATACTTGTCTTACCCTTTCCAACAGTGTTCTTATCTCAGCACATGCCTCTGCATGCCCAGCCCAGGGAGCATCACCATCACTAAGGAAACCAGTTTATATGGCAAGCATTTCTCCAAAAAGGCTCCTCTCACAGGCTGAGAGTCAGAGTTTACTACAGGCCAAGTTGGCCCCTGCTCATGGGGTAACATTTCATAGCAGCTCTGTCAAAGTAAGAGGATGCTAAGGTCGGCTAAATTATTAATTTAGCTGTCGATGTTTTTTGTCAAAATTGCCAATGTCCTACAGTGGCATTGGGTAAATTATGTTTTAGAAATGCACAACATTAGTCTACACATTATTCTATTTGAAGCATTGCTAGAGCAAAGGAGATGAAAATAAAGGCAGCCACACTGTTCAGCGCATGCGTCACAGGGGGGAAAGAAAAATAGACCAAAAAAAGGTCGTCACATGACAGTTTGCTTTTTTGTCAGGGGGCTGCCTTTGGAAATATGTGGAAACGTCCTTTTGTTGGTGGAATATCGAGACGGGACGGTGCATTCAGTCGCAGCTAAAACGCGTCAAGATTACGAGGAAACAGCTGAATATTAAAGTTCCTGCTTTGAGTCTCCAACACATTCAGACGCATATCAGGACATAACGAGCATACGACGCAGACAACAACACGGGTGTCCGAGGGCATTTTCAATTCACCAAACAAACATTCCTATTTACTGATAAATAAACTTTATTTTATTGAGCATTCATTGGCCTTCGACGACAGAGTATGAAATGCTATGCTATAAATAAAAACTAAAATGATGCAATAAACAGTGAGTTTATTCCAGCCCCTCAACAATGAACACATGTCTTAATGAGAAACATTGATAAGAATGGATAACTTATCTTAAGAAGTGGTGTTATCGTGTAGCTAAATGGCTACCACTACTATTCCTGTTTTGTGTGTGAAAATATCAAAGAATGCTTAAAGCAGATTACTCACCACGGTTACCGGAGAAAACCATGTTTTTCTTCGGCGGTGTCTGTGTCGATGACAATGGTGTTAAATATAAAAAATTAGCTTTGGGTCCTCCACTTTGTGTTTTACTGCATGAGGGATGCCCGATTGTTTTTTGTCCTCGCTCCGGTAGGCGGCCCTACGTCCGGTAGGAGGTGATAGACAAGCCGAAACGTGGGCACGTTTTTCTCAGTTGACCAATAGGAGCAGAGAGATGTTGTGGAGGGGGAGGGCCAAAGCAAAATGGGCGCCCTGATAGGAGGAGTCAGGCTGCTGTTTACATATCGGAGCAGATGGCCTTTATTTACATCTTACAGAGGAGCTTCTTGATAGACTTTTGATCTTATTATTGATTGGGACTGACAAAACGTTGTAAATGGGTCAGATGAGGCGTTAGAAATCAGACAAAAAAGCCTGGCAAACATCTATAAGAGATCGAAATGTTGCTCTAATACAATATATTGATTTCCGATTCCACTGATTGCATTGATTCAAATACAATGCTTTTAATAAATACAGTTTGTGGATATTCTGTCTGTTTCCTTTCAGTTAAAGCTCCCCAGTCAACTAATCAGACCGTTTCCCCATAAAATATCATGAATATACGAGTGCTCTTAAATTGACATTAGGATAGTGGTATTACATAGATGGGCCATTCTACCGAATTGATGCAAAGTCAGGTTGGAACAGTTTTGAAATGTTGTATGTTTTTTTCCCAAAACTTTGTCCATATATATTTTGTACCATATCTAAATTACACATATCTAGTAAAATAACCGTAGATTTTTATATCGTATTTTCAGACTGTATTGGAATGTTCTTCCATACCAAAAATGGTCACTACCGAAACATAGTATATACACTGTAGTAAAACAAGTAACCTGTTAAGATTGTTTTACCTTCCCTTCTCTAAATAGTATTTTAACAAATATTTATTAAGGGTTTTTGCAATTAAATCAATGCAATTTAATTTGTAATCAAATTTCAAAGTTCAATTTATACAATTCATAACAATCTCAATGCAATTTTTCTTTGTAAAGTGCATAATACTGATCATATTGATTCCAGAGTTGATGATTGTTGAAATTGAACATACATTAAACCAATCAGTATCATATCATTTTATTTGATAAGTCAATATACTTTACTTTTTACAAAACATCCAGTGTTTCGGTAGTGACCACAGTATTTTGTTCTCAAGGTTGTATCATATTCCCTCAAGCTTATTGCTTAATCTTGACTCATAACATGCCTTATGTTGAAGTGTGAATGTTTGAAGCTACTGACCCGGAATCAGCACTTTAGTAACAGGCTTAAATAGAGGGGAATTAGGCTAGAATGGGTGATCTGTTTGGTATTTTGAGCAAAACACTTCATAGACAGGTTTTTATATATATCTGAGACCTATAATATATGCCTACAAATAGTATAATTAGAGACCTTTAAAGCAACACACTGATTTTCAGACTTTAAAACACATTTATTTCAAAACTATGGGATTTACCTGCTTACCATTCCATTGTGTCACTACCGAAACGATCATATGTTTACCATATGTTTCGGTAGTGACTGTTTCGATAGTGACGATTCTAGCTAAAATTGAGCATAACTAAAGAATGCTAGCAACTATGGCTAGAGGTTTACACACATACAAACATAATACTTTGCATAAAACTCAGAAAAAGTTTACTTAATTGAAGATAATATGTGTTCGGTAGTGACAATTCTTAAGGTTACACACCGATTTTCAGATTTTGGAACAGATTTATATCAAAAGTATGGGATATAGCCATTCAGCCATGAGGGACAGGGATGCAGTTAGGGATCTGTTACGCTAAACTTAATTATATTGTGTAGCCTTAGTTAGTGTGTGTATTCATGTTACAGCATGACACAGAATTTTGCTTTGAATTCTGCATTTGTAATTGGATTTTATTTCATAAACATGTAGAAATAGTTGAATTTAGTACAACTGAAACCATGGGACATTTTTACATTAAAATTAAATTAAGTAGGAGGTCAAAATGTATACTAAATTGGAAGCTGTACGTTTTTACATACTAACTAATATCATACAAAACACACAAACATAATTTAGTTTTTTCTTTCTGTGGGTCACCAACTGGAGAAGTGATCAAATGGAAAACTCCCTATGCCTTGAAGGAAACAATTTCTGGTCCAAAAAATTACAATTTGAGTCAAATGTGCTTGTACTTTACTGGAGTATTTATTATTTACACTACTTAAGAAATCTAGATTCCCCATTTCAGGGGGAGAAATGTAAGTTTCTTTTCAACTTAAATATCAACACTACAATTAAAAGAAATGCAGCTTGTAAAATGTGTTACAAAATGTATACCCAAACTAGGGTACAATACTACAAATTACAATAAGTATAGACGAGCTGCAATTTGTGTGTGGGTGCTACGATTATGCAATATGAGTTATTAAATAATATTATTCTAAAAAACATTCTGCATGATTGTCTAGACTTTTGCTCAGGGAGGCCGATATTAAATCATGTTTATGCAACTTTGTAAAAATTCAGTTTTAAATGCAGGATCTTTACTTTATTGAGTAGCTTGCCCTACTCTTAGATTATGATAGGGTTACTTTTATTTCAGTAAGCTAAATCAGCCCTCTCCACTGGAAACTATAAAGTTAAAACTGTTTGGTACTGTTATTTGTTAGTAATTGCTTTAGAATAATATAATAGTATCATTCAGGGAAATGAAGAAGAATATCCACAATTGTAGCGACATCTTGTGGTTCTAAGAGTGTCTAACTTATTTTTGGCCGGACATTACGTAAAGAAACCATGGGAGAAAGCGGAAGTGAAACTACAGTAAATGTTAAATCAAACCATGGATGTATAATAAGAACGAGAGTCAAACATCCATGGCTTTAGATATATCAGACATAGGCATTTAGTGATAGAGGCCAATCTTGTTAAATAATTTGTCTGTAATTACATTTAGGCCTACTTTTGCGTGTGATCCTGTAAATATAATCATTTTAAATATGACCCTTTTGTCAAAATATTTTTCCGAACCATTTTTGTTAATCGTTCACGTGTCAAAACTATGTTTAATATATTGAGGTATTGTGCCTAGCCTACTTTGTCTAATCAAACAAATAAAATCAATTCCACTTATCGATGAAAGTGATTTTCCGATCTTAGTAACCTTTGTTTTCTCTCAAGACAGACATCCCCTCTACGCGTGCATTTACACCAAAGCCAAAGCCCTATACGGCGCTGATTTACACGACATAATTGGGCAACTAATGTTACAACTCTCGAGTACAATTTATTGTGGTACTCATTTCACACATGCCTACAAATAATACAAAATGTAAATAACTACATTCCACTTAGGCCAGTTAATGTAAACTTGCGTTGTATTGCATTTGTCCAAATGATTTTTACGCTATTAACAACCAGTCACTTTTTACACCTTTAACGACAACATTTGTCAAAAAACAAATATGTTTTGAATTTAAAAAAATGAAGCGTTTGTTTTATTCTGATTTGCAACTATCAAATCCCAGGACTGAAAACATAATGGACTTAATTGTAACTACTGACTCTTTGTATCTAACAAAGACGGAAACGCGCAGGAGGGACTCCTCTCACTTCCTTAGAGTAATCTTTGGACCTTTAATTCTTCTGTCTTTCACACCGTTAGTCTCTACCTACCAACACCCGTGGTAACATTATGGCTGAGTTTTTAGTGTTTTTCTATCTTTAGGCTTTATTTGTATGAACATTTTTGATGGATTTTGCTGTGTTGTATCAGTTTAAAAGTTCGTCTTTTCAGGCTTCTTGGTTTGCTAACGTTAGTTTACGTCAGTAAACGTATGGTTAGCTAACGCTAACTTCGCTAGCTTAATCGAATGTAGTAAAATATCTCTTAACGGTTTGATATACAGTATTTATTACCACGGAGTCTGTTTGAAATAGTGTTATCCTTATAGCTATTTAGGTGTCGTTTGGTAACGCTGAATCTCGAGCGAGTTTACCTGGGTTGGAAGCTAAACGCTAGCGTTAGCTTTAGCAATCAACACTCCTGGTTGATCCCTCGATTCGTTTCAAACAGCCTGCTTCATCACTCGCAGTCTAAAAGATGGACTTTGATAATATATTAGACCTCGCCTCTCAGAACCAGGGCCTCAGCAGTGTCCAGGTAGGTCAAATGTCTTTACTCATTCCTATCAGTAAACTTGTGTTATGTGGCAAATCTTGTGAGCACACAAATGCCAGCTCATCTGTCAGAGGATTTGATAATGTAGCTAGCTGCTAACTTCCACCCTCGTGAGCCTGCTTGCTAGGCAGACGTTTACTTAAACCTGTAAGCTTGTCAAGTTTTTATATTTCCAATCTAAAGTTATATTTAGACCAACATATGTGGGTAATTACATCGTCGTATTTCCCTATAACTAAGACCTCTAAACGATTCAAATAGCAAAGAGACATGTGTAACTACTTTATATTCAATATGCTGTACATTTTCATGTATTTTGTGTCCTTCTTTGAGCAGAAAAGATACAGTCTACAAACTGGACCACCGAAAAAAGTCCCACGGTCGAGAGGTGTAGATCCTAGTGCTGTGCAGGCACTTCTGAAGAAGCAAACCATTGATCACAAAAAGAAAGGTAACGCTAAGTTAACGTTATCACAGTGATTTTATAGCCATTACAGAATACATTCTTCATTGATGTTTTTTGTGTTCATCCAGAAATTCAAGTGAAGAAAAGAAGGATGAACTACTACAGAAGAGGGTTGAAATGAAGTCGGACCGTAAAGCCCGGGCCATGGCTTCCAGAACCAAAGACAATTTCAGAGGCTACAATGGCGTCCCAGTTGTAGAATTGCCTAAGAAGAGGAGAACAAAACAAGAAATGCAGGAAGAAAGAGCAATGAATGGCGAAGGATTTACGAACAACTCCATTGACCCAGAGGATGAGGATAATTATGAGTATGAGCCTTCAGATTCAGAGTCGGAGCAGGAGCCAGAACCACGGAGACCTGCAAAAACCCCTGGATTTAGTGCTAGTAGCAGGAGTAGTAGTAGTAGCAAGCAATCCTCTAAAAAGCCTGCTCCACCTCCCTTGAACTTTGCAGAGTTACTCAAATTGGCAGAGAAGAAGCAGTTTGAGCCAGTTGAGGTAAAAAAGGTAGTGAAAAAAGAAGATAGGCTCCGAACAGCTGAAGAGATAAGGGAGCGGGAGCTGGAGCGCAAGGTTAAGAGAATGGACAGAGACTCAAAGACTGAGAGAGACAGAGACAGCAGGTCTCAATCTAGCTCTAGTTCAATGAGGAAAAACACTTCTGAGAAGGAGCAGAAGAATGGTAAACCCCAAAATAACTCCTCAGTGAAGCCAAGTTTGCCCAGTGGCTCAGCGAAGAAATTGCATCCAACATCTTCTAGTGATAAAGGCCACTCTTCTTCTAGGCCCTCTGTTAATGACAGAGACAGAGATCGATCCAAGATGTCTAACAGTGACAGAGATCGTTCCAAGATGTCTAACAGTGACAGAGATCGTTCCAAGATGTCTAACAGTGACAGAGACCAATCCAAGATGTCTAACAGTGACAGAGATCGATCCAAGATGTCTAACAGTGATAGAGACCAATCCAAGGCAGCCTCATCAAGTGCTTCTGGTGCCACAAACAGTAAAGTTCCTTCAAAAGGCTCATCATCTCAGGTTTCAGCCAAACAAGGGGGGCTCAAGCCCTCATCCAGCCACAAATCAAGTGCCTCAAGTGACCTTATCCCCAAAAAAGAAAGCTCATCAAGACCCTCAGGCATTCCTGGGACCAGGGCTCCTGGTCCATCTACATCAGGCCAAAGATCTCAACAGGGGAGCTCCCAACAGAACAGGCCCAGTCAGGGTGTGAAGCAAGGACCTTCAGCCGGAGGAAACAAGTCTGGAAAGGGAGAACCTCTGAGGCCTGGAACTAATTCTGCTGGAAAGTCAAGTGGTAATTCAGGGATGAGACCTTCTTCGGGGGGCCCTCCTAAGGCAGGGGGCCAGCCCCAGTCAAGGCCTGGAGGCACATTCCATGCAAAAGCTCTTGGTGTCCCACAGGCCAGGCCTGGTGGGAGTGGCCCAAATGGTCCCCCTAGAGGAGGTGGACCCCGACCGCCAGGGACGGGGCCTGCTCGGCCTGGCAGTGGAGGACCAGTATCTGGACGGCCCTCGGGCAGCGTTGGATCTGGTCCTGGAAAATCCACGTGCACTGTGGTGTCCGAGACCATTTCATCCAAGAATTTTGGTGGGCCCAAACCAGGAGTCCCTCCTCAACCAGGCATGCAGCAGAGACCAGGCATGCAGCAGAGACCCGGCATGCAGCAGAGACCCGGCATGCAGCAGGGACCCGGGATGCAGCAGAGACCCGGGATGCAGCAGAGACCCGGGATGCAGCAGAGACCCGGGATGCAGCAGAGACCAGGCATCCAGCAGAGACCAGGGATGCAACAGGGACCCGGGATGCAACAGAGACCAGGCATGCAACAGAGACCCGGGGTGAACAGACCACCAGGTAATAATCTGAGGGAAGATAATGGTGTTCAAGATTCAAGAGATTTCTTTTGTCACGTGTCACACATGCGTAGTACAATGTGGATGCTTCAAACTTCCAAGCAGTGCAACATTTGTGTATAAGAAACTATCGATGCTAATTAAACAAAATGCAAGATTGAAAAAAATGGCAAAATAGTGAAAATATATTAAATTAGCCAAAAACTGGACTTGTCACTTAAGGAATACACTGACAACAGTATACAAATGTGCAGAGAAAAAGGTACTATGAAGGATAAAGATATTAACAGTAGTATTAGGCGCGTTCACACCGCAGTACTTTTCCCACTTTAGTTCCGATATAGTTCCGAAATGCCGCGTTCACACCAAAAAGAGCCGAAACAAAAATTAGTTCATGAGAAACTTTTTACCCCCTTTTCCGTTCCTGCTAGAGAGCAGGTACTTTCGTGGGAGAAAAAGGTTCAGGGCTCTCGACTAACTTTTTTCACCATCCTCCCGGAACCGTCCCGAAATACAATCTAAGCCGTCCCGAAATTAATGTGGACCGTCCCGAATTTAAAAATATTTAGTTTTTCTACATTATCATTAGTTAAAATCATTCAAAGTGACGTTTAACATAAATAAGACATCATACAAATCTAGATGATAATTCATCACCCTTTTTATTTGAGGAAATCAGTCAAACACAGAAACAAAGGCCAAATATATTTAAAAAAAACACACAAACGAGAAAGTTACTCTAATATTGAATCCAATCAAGTCCCATCCAACTAACAAAAAAATCCAACACTCTGTCCTGAAGACAGAAGACAGAACCCAGAGTAACCATTAACCAGGATGACAGTCTGTAACACAGTCAGGAGACCTTTACAAACTGTCCCGCCCCCTCGCACACAGACGGGAGAGAGAGATCTCTCGTCTGGATTGGTCTTATTGCATATTAGATATTGAGTTGGCAAAACTAAAACTGCGATATAATGTTTATGTAGCAATAATACACAAGACGTATATGTTTTAAATGTCTCCAGTACCATAACGTCGGAGCTTAACGGTACCACGTTCTTTAATAATTCCGGCCCGGGGCCCGTTTGATACCGGGGCTCGGTACCCATCCCTACGTGGAGAGAGGCGCAGCATATTGCTAAGGACTGAATGCGATGGAGTTCTCATTATTCGCGAGCCAGGAATTTGCGGGCCGCTGTCTGTGTGTGTGTGTGTATTTCGCGGGTTGCTAAATGTTTTGTGCGTGTGTGTTTAAATGTTGTCGTAGTAGAGTTAGCAGGGTATTTTTATTTTAACTCTCGTCCCAAATTCGTCCCACATTTTTTTTTTATCCTCCCGACCCTATTGTTTTCGGCGACGGGACGCGCTTAAGCTCGAGCCCTGAAAAGGTTCCTATGTCTGATTGGCTGGGCGGAATGCAAACCACGCCCCGTAAAACTCCCAAAAAGTTTTGTGAAACCGCCATTTTATTATCCTCGCATTAGCATTATTAGCATTAGCCCAGCGCAGAAGCGCAGAGAGACTAACTTATGGCAACACAAAAGAAAACATGGGAGCGGTGGAGATGAGGAGGTTCTGGCAATTTACTCGGAAGGCTTCAGTATCTCCCAGTAAACCCAAAGCAGAAGAAGAAGTGACGTCAGCGGCTTCATTTGCCTAATCCTCCCCCAGGCACTTATTCCGGTGTGAACGCAATCTGTACTTGGTTCATGAGAACTAAAGTTCTCATGAACTAAGTTCTGATGAACCTTTGTGGGAAAAGCACTGCGGTGTGAAAGCGTGCTGAAAACTAAAAAACTGAAACTAAAGTTCCTTTTAGGTTACTGCAATAATCATAATATGTAATTAAAGACAATGGTGGACTCTGGCAAAAGTGCTTGGTCAAATGTGTTAAAATCACAGCAGTGGTACAGGTTGGGTAAACACTGCACTTGACTTCTTGAGAACAGGCTTTTTTTTATCAAAGTAAACCCCTTCTACCTGCCAGTCTATTCAAGCTCTGGTTAAGAGCAACATATCCATCTCCAGCCTGTTGTTGGGCACAACTTTTAGTTTTAAGGAAATGGCTTGATACAATCAGAAAATAAAACCATCACTTCGCGCTCTGCGTACATACAAAATATTTCTATTGTCACTCATAATTTGAAATGATTGATTGTGCTCATGTTGATATCAACACAAATGTCCTTCACTACATACACAATACAAATAAACCTTAAGCACGTAATAGCTCATAACACACATACCCAGTTAACCATACACTACGATGAACATTGCAAAACAATGCATGTTTTCATTAACAATAACGATACCCTTATAGATGTCATTCTAACATGCAGCTCATAAGTATGTGTCTGTTTGTGTTTTTCCTAATGATATCAGCGACCATTGCACTATTGCTTGCGTTAGGAGCACTAAGTTGCCCAAAGCCAAGGGTCTTATTGTGCTCAGGCGCTGCTTCAAACACTTCTCTGAGCAGGTTTTCCTACACGATCTGGCGGAGGTTAAATGGCACTTCATAGCATTAATTCCATCTGTCGATGTTGCGGTCCAATTCTTTATTGATCACTTTTTATCGATTATTAATAGACATGTCCCCCTTAGAAAATTCAGAGTTAAGAATAGGAACACTCCATGGTTTACAAGAGAATTATCTGATTTAATTCATGATCGCAATAAGCAATGGTCTAGAAAGTCTAACACTAGTGATGAGTGGCTTCTTTTTCGTGTCCTCAGAAATAAATGTTCAGCCCTTATTAAAAAAAGCTAAAGCTGATTACTATCTGAGCTTAACCACTGATTGTTTTAATGACCATTCTAAGTTCTGGAAAACAATTAAATCACTTCAGAACAAGAAGGTTTCTAGTTTCCCTCAAAAACTGAAGGTCAGTGATTATTTTATTTCAGATACAAATGATATGTCTAATGTCTTTAATGCTCACTTCAAAAAGGCTGGTCACATTTTTGATGAGCAAAGTCATGACTCTGCATGGTCGTACTCACAGCCCTAGTCAAGAGATTAACTCCCCCCTGTTTTTGATTTAGCTTCTTTCTAGGTCTCTGAAGTCTTACACAGTTTGCACTCAATTGATCCTAAAAAGTCTGCCGGGCCTAACGGCCTAGATCAGGCATCCTCAAACTACGGACTCCGGTCCGGATCCGGACCGAACCACCACTGTCTCCGGACTCTGAGCAAATTATAGTTTTCATATGTATTATCTCTCTGTATTATATGTGAGACATCGCCACAACGCATTCGCAACGAGTCAAAATTCTCCGCTATGTCCACTGCAAACAGCGCTCTGCATGTCTGACTGTTCCACTGTGTTCCACCTGTGTGTGTCAACGCTTTGGTCCAATCACATTCAGCATCCAGTCAGCGTTTTTTCCCCCCAAACAATCTGCGAATCAGAGGCACAGTAGGGCGGGTCTTCGCGGACTGCGGGTGGGAAAAATGTGTGTGTCTCTTTCAACCTGTCTAAATCAGAGCGAGAATTAAAAAAAAAAAAATCAGAGCGAGAGTTAACAGCTCATCTAGTTCCATCTGTACTGTAGCTAGTAGCCTAGTTTCACCTACTGGGGTGGCAACTGACACCCTAAAAATAGGCATTACCACTCCAGTTGGCAGCTTTGTTTTGAAAGAAAAGTTGTGGCTCATCGGACATTTATGAGAGAAAGTCTCTAATGTCCGAGTGCAAGTGAATGCAGCACAAGATGCACGTCATGTAACCCCTCCCCCGGTCCTGGCGCAAGCGTGGACATACGATTGGCGGCCATTTCATTTTGAACTGGACGGCGCAAAACGAGAAGCATTCGGACCCAAGCGCTGAAGGAATGAGGTATTTGCGGTCTACACTGACAGAGAAGAGACTGTCAGTTTGGCTGTACTCAGCATTGAATCAAAACGCACTGAAGCTGTTGATCTTAATACGTTTGTGAGGCGTTTTGCTGAACAAAATGGTAATCGCCGCATTCAGCTGTAATAGACATGTCAACTTGATGCTCTGCTCACGGATGAGCATACACAACTATTAAGATGATGACCTTACGAGTGTAAATATATTTTTTTCTTTGAGGGGGTCTGCCCCCAAAAAACTGTTTTAAGTCCTGAGAAAGTCAAATCAGACGGTGTGTAAAACTACACTGCCCAGCCAAAAAAAAGTAACCACTTTGATTTAACTAGGCCAGTAGGTAAGGGCCTTCCACTGGATAATAACTGAAGTATAAAAGAATGCATGACTGAAGTGATGGAGACCATGTTTGAAGGCAAACAAAAAGAGGAAATAACAGGTCAAATCAAGCAAATCCCCTCTCAGATTCCACAGCAACCAGAAGAACAGAAATACTGGCTGGTGATTTGATTCATCAGCTTTGTGATGGAATAAAAAATGCACAGTGCATTTCCTTAGCTGTGGGTGAGTCCACTGACACCACTGACAATGCTCAGTTGCTGGTGTTTGTGAGTTGTTATGATGAGGCAAAGGGGGAGTTTGTTGAAGATGTGTTGGGCCTGACGAACCTCAGTGGACGCACAAGGGGGAATACATTTATAAAGCAATAATGGGAATGCTGAATGAAAGAGGGTGCAGCTGCCTTTATTCATAACTGTGCAGCTCTTACACTGCAACTCTGAGGGGTCAAGCACAGACACAATAACAATGAAAACTGCTGCATACAGATTATTTTTGTTTTTGCAACCTTGTGTTAAGAATCTTGTTGCAATTGTTTAAAAGTTTGAATGACCGTAATAAACGGACCTTTGTCTTATTGAAACATTTATTTTGGACCTTTAAGATTTGTATTTGAGTACCCCTGGCCTAGATCCTTTCTTTTTAAAAATTGCAGCTCAGATTATAGCTCAACCAGTTACTGATATTTGTAATCTCTCCCTGTCCACTCGCACACTGCCAGCTGTGTGGAAGCAAGCTCTTGTATCGCCGCTCTTGAAAGCTGGTGATCCCACTGATTTGAATAACTATTGACCCATCTCAAATCTTT